TGGCTGGGTTACGCAAAGTCGAAAATATCATATGGCAGAGAGGCATTCAACAAATACTTAATAAATTTTGTATTATGCAGTAATGTAAATGAAATGTACCTACAAATTCCTTTAAAGGACACCAAGACCATTGCCCGAGTCACACACTCATATTGAGTGAATTGTCAACATAATTTTTTTAGAGGGGTATAGTCTGGGCTGGAGGGTATAAACTAGGCAAGCCTATTTGGCATAATCTGGTCCAGTTATTCTGGGCTGCTACCCCGGGGGTATAACTGGTACCATGTAGGCCGGGAGCCTATAACATGGTTACCCCCTGTGTAGGGACCAACAGGAATCATGTTGAAGGTTGATTGTCGGTTATGTAGGGTATCCTGTGTAGGCAAACCAACAGGAACATGTTGAAGGTTGATTGTCGGTTATGGAGGGTATCCTGTGTAGGCCAGGACCAACAGGAACATGTTGAAGGTTGATTGTCGGTTATGTAGGGTATCCTGTGTAGGCCAGGACCAACAGGAACATGTTGAAGGTTGATTGTCGGTTATGTAGGGTATCCTGTGTAGGCCGGGACCAACAGGAACATGTTGAAGGTTGATTGTCGGTTATGTAGGGTATCCTGTGTAGGCCAGGACCAACAGCCGAGGACCAACAGGACATGTTGAAGGTTGATTGTGGTTATGTAGGGTATCCTGTGTAGGCGGGAGGAACAACAGGAACATGTTGAAGGTTGATCCTGTTATGTAGGTATCCTGTGTAGGCGGGACCAACAGGAACCAACAGGTATCCTGTGTAGGCGGGACATGTTGAAGGTTGATTGTCGGTTATGTAGGGTATCCTGTGTAGGCCGGGACCAACAGGAACATGTTGAAGGTTGATTGTCGGTTATGTAGGGTATCCTGTGTAGGCCGGGACCAACAGGAACATGTTGAAGGTTGATTGTCGGTTATGTAGGGTATCCTGTGTAGGCCGGGACCAACAGGAACATGTTGAAGGTTGATTGAAGGTTGGTTATGTAGGGTATCCTGTGTAGGCCGGGACCAACAGGAACATGTTGAAGGTTGATTGTCGGTTATGTAGGGTATCCTGTGTAGGCCGGGACCAACAGGAACATGTTGAAGGTTGATTGTCGGTTATGTAGGGTATCCTGTGTAGGCCGGGACCAACAGGAACATGTTGAAGGTTGATTGTCGGTTATGTAGGGTATCCTGTGTAGGCCGGGACAGCAGGAACAGGAACATGTTGAAGGTTGATTGTCGGTTATGTAGGGTATCCTGTGTAGGCGGGGACCAACAGGAACATGTTGAAGGTTGAGGTTATGTAGGGTATCCTGTGTAGGCCGGGACCAACAGGAACATGTTGAAGGTTGATTGTCGGTTATGTAGGGTATCCTGTGTAGGCGGGACCAACAGGAACATGTTGAAGGTTGATTGTCGGTTATGGTTATGTAGGGTAGTTAAATATGTGTAGACAAACAACAGGAACATTTAGATTGAAATGAGCCCCAGTGAGAGGAGATTGGTAGAACCCAGAAACCTGTGTCTGTCAGGGGCGGTGGGAGGAACCGGCTAAAAGCCAGGCTAGTGTTAGCTTGAGGTAGGGTACCCTGTGTAGAGTTACTATTGTTAGGTCTAGTGAAGTCAATCCTGTGTCTAAAAATATATAAGTCTGAGACAAACAAATAGCCATTTAGGACAAAGTGAACTATGAGCACCCAGTGAGAGGGAGATTCAGAACCCGAACCTGTGTCTGTGGGAAACAAAAAGCGCCATGCCATTATGAGCCCGAGACTTATGTGACTTGCCATTTCCTGTTAGATGAATTTATGTGTGGGAGCCAGCGCCATTATAGTTTGTGACTTGCCATTTCCTGGATGAATTTATGTTTGGTTTGTACGATGAGATTGGTGCCAGATTGCTGACTGAAGGAAAAACATTCAACATCATCTCATATTTTACTATACAAATCTGAAATGAGATACAAATTCTAATAGACAAAAACAATAACTCAGTAGAGAGAAAAGTATTCATCATCACGACAGTCATCACATGTTTATAGCCCTAATGGATGTGAAGTCAGCTCCAAGCATGATTTTGGCCATGTTATGGGGAGCTGTGACTGGTTACAGTGATAGTATAGACATATCCTTTATCTCTGGAGCTTACATTTCAGTAAACCTACACTAACCCTTGGATCCTGTGATTCTTGTGATTCCCAGGAACCTGCCCTTGATTTCATTAGCATTTTACTAACCAATCAAACGATGACATCAGGGAATGTAAAGGGGTAACTTGCATTATTAGAAACCAAAGCCATGTCCAGTGTTAATGGACATGGGACATCTTTTCCATCAAGAAAATATTTGAGGGCTTTCTTATATTCTTCAGTTGTTCAAGATCAAATGTATGACTTGATCAATGGGACTGTCAGCCATGTTGTTGATGTTGCCGACCCAGCACTGAGGATGGTTTATAACTTGTATTCTGGTTGGTATGTTACAGCTAGTATCATAGCCAGTCAAACCAACAAATGGAAATCAAGGGTGGGTAATAGAAATACAGATAATGCAGTATAGAAAGGTTCACCAGTGGAATGTTGCTATGAGGAGTTTAGAGGTTATCTCCCTGAATATTTGTGTGATATCTTTCTTTGTGACTTGATATCTTTCTTTATGACTCATTAGTTGTCTCCCTTGTGAAGTGTTATCTCCCCTTATTATTTGTCATGTCTCCTTAAGATCTGTAGCTATTTCCCATTAGAACTTATCATCTTGCCTCATGACATATTATCTCCCCTGACTGCTTGTTATCTCTCCTGATGACATATTATCTCCCCTGACTGCTTGTTATCTCTCCTGATGACATGTTATCTCCCCTGACAGCTTGTTATCTCTCCTGATGACATGTTATCTCCCCTGACTGCTTGTTATCTCTCCTGATGACATGTTATCTCCCCTGACTACTTGTTATCTCTCCTGATGACATGTTATCTCCCAGACTGACTGTTATCTCCCTGACATGTTATCTCCCTGATGACTTGTTATCTCTCCCCTGACTAGCTTGTTATCTCTCCTGATGACATATTATCTGACACTTGTTATCTCCTGATGACATATTATCTCTCCTTGTTATCTCTCCTGATGACATGTTATCTCCCCTGACTGCTTGTTATCTCCTGATGACATATTATCTCCCCTGACTACTTGTTATCTCTCCTGATGACATGTTATTCTCCCCTGACTGCTTGTTATCTCCTGATGACATGTTATCTCCCCTGACTACTTGTTATCTCTTGTTATCTCCTGACTACTTGTTATCTCTCCTGATGACATGTTATCTCCCTGACAGCTTGTTATCTCCTGATGACATGTTATCTCCCCTGACTGCTTGTTATCTCCTGATGACATGTTATCCCCTGACTGCTTGTTATCTCTCCTGATGACATGTTATCCCCTGACTGCTTGTTATCTCCTGATGACATGTTATCTCCCCTGATTGCTTGTTATCTCTCCTGATGACATATTATCTCCCCTGACTGCTTGTTATCTCTCCTGATGACATGTTATCTCCCCTGACTGCTTGTTATCTCTCCTGATGACATGTTATCTCCCCTGACTGCTTGTTATCTCTCCTGATGACATATTATCTCCCCTGACTGCTTGTTATCTCTCCTGATGACATGTTATCTCCCCTGACTGCTTGTTATCTCTCCTGATGACATGTTATCTCCTGACTACTTGTTATCTCTCCTGATGACATGTTATCTCCCCTGACTACTTGTTATCTCTCCTGATGACATGTTATCTCCCCTGACTGCTTGTTATCTCTCCTGATGACATGTTATCTCCCCTGATTGCTTGTTATCTCCTGATGACATGTTATCTCCCCTGACTGCTTGTTATCTCCTGATGACATATTATCCCCTGACTGCTTGTTATCTCCTGATCATGTTATCTCCCTGATGTTACTCTCCTGATGACATGTTATCTCTCCTGACTGCTTCTCCTGATATCTCTCCTGATGACATGTTATCTCCCCTGACTACTTGTTATCTCTCCTGATGACATGTTATCTCCCCTGACTACTTGTTATCTCTCCTGATGACATGTTATCTCCCCTGACTGCTTGTTATCTCTCCTGATGACATGTTATCTCCCCTGACTACTTGTTATCTCTCCTGATGACATATTATCTCCCCTGATTGCTTGTTATCTCTCACGATGACATGTTATCTCCCCTGACAGCTTGTTATCTCTCCTGATGACATGTTATCTCCTGACTACTTGTTATCTCTGACCGATATGATCCTGACAGCTTGTTATCTCCTGATGACATGTTATCCCCTGACAGCTTGTTATCTCCTGATGACATGTTATCTCCCCTGACTACTTGTTATCTCTCCTGATGACATGTTATCTCCCTGACTGCTTGTTATCTCTCCTGATGACATGTTATCTCCCCTGACTGCTTGTTATCTCCTGATGACATGTTATCTCCCTGACTGCTTGTTATCTCTCCTGATGACATGTTATCTCCCTGACTGCTTGTTATCTCTCCTGATGACATATTATCTCCCCTGACTGCTTGTTATCTCTCCTGATGACATATTATCTCCCTGATTGCTTGTTATCTCTCCTGATGACATGTTATCTCCCCTGACAGCTTGTTATCTCCCCTGATGACATGTTATCTCCCCTGACTGCTTGTTATCTCTCCTGATGACATGTTATCTCTCCTGACTGCTTGTTATCTCTCCTGATGACATGTTATCTCCCCTGACTGACTTGTTATCTCTCCTGATGACATATTATCTCTCCTGACTGCTTGTTATCTGCCCTGATGACTTGTTATCTCCCCTGACTGCTTGTTATCTGCCCTGATGACTTGTTATCTCCCCTGACTGCTTGTTTTCTCTCCCGATGACATGTTATCTCCCCTGACTGTTTGTTATCTCCCCTGACTGCTTGTTATTTCCCCTGATGACATTTTATTTCACTGTTACAGACTGTGGGCTGATGTCTTCCGTGTGCATGGAGATGGCGAATACATGCGATGGCAGCGTGTGTCCGATGACGTCGTCCCAATTAACATCACCTGCATCGAAGACAACCCGAATACTATCTTTCAGATAACTGCCTACAATCGGCAGGTGGAGAAGATCTTCGATGTCAAAATTATACAACCTGGTAAGTGGAGGCACTGACGAAATAAAGAGGTCATGTTGTACAGACACTGTTTGATGGAAGCTGGATGACAGGGACAGGGTATTGTAAATAATGTCGCAGTTGGTGTGTAGCAGATCATAATCGCAATGGCTCTGATTTAACATGGTCTGAGGGACTGTACATGTATTATGGGGGGATTGGTCAGTGACATTAAACAAGGAAGGACTTCCTGTGCTGGTATCTCAAACTGAGATAAAAAAAACTTGTTTTTTAATTTTTCTCCAAAAAGAAAATAGTGGGAATGATAAAGGATGATCTAGACTCTATTCTGATTATCTTTGTCTGATGACTTGATATTGAGCGTTCTTCACCTGGGTCAGAGTGTATGAGAATAATTCACTTGTGACTGATAATCTGTAATTCATTCATTCAGTTATTGTCTGAATATGTATGTCGCCCTGAAGGGCAGATACCGTAAATATTACATGACCGGGAGCGATATGATGGTATTCACAGGTCACACATATTGTATTTGTAATGAAGAGGACAGGGAGGTCATGTCATTTTCTTATCACTTTACATGTATATAACCAAACAGTCTGTGCTTGCCCTTATTAACTTATGACAGGGATTCCACTAAGTTATTATCTTGACCTATGCTGAAATTAATCACAGACCATTATGCAGTTAGAATGCTTATGGTTCAGGATATCACAAATTACAGCATCTTCCTGTACCAAGGGAAGGCAGTTAACTGACAATAAATGTCTGGTTTCCGCCTTTACTGAACACAGCTAGAATTTAGTGTTGCCTGATTTTTGCACTTCCAGTGATACGGCCAGTTGTGTCCATTCTGTCTCTCCTTCAGACCAGTCAGATTCCAGCTCTTATATTACTTGCAGTTATCCCAAAATGGCGGCCTCCAGTCAAGATGATTGGAGCAATAATCAATATCTGTATTGTTATTACACAGGTCTTAACACACGAAATGGATCAATTACAAGCTTAATTAAATCATGGAATGATTTGGAAAGTATCTATTAACGACAAGTTGGCAATATACAAGTCAACGGAAATCTGCATGATTGTCTCCATGATGATCTTGTTACATCATTTTCACCTGACTATGCGTAGACTAAAATGTTATCAAGAAATTCCAGCTTAGGTGTGGCAAACTATTTATCTTGTGTGATAGTTTGATGAGACTGACATTTTCAGTCAAACATCTGGTTTTATGTCGCAAGCATGCTTTTTGTGTGTTTTTCACAAGAGAAGCCCACGTAAATGCATGTTGATATATCATGTGTTTCCAGGGTACAGTTGTCTCCAGCAATGGATGCTGGTCATAAGAGCCAACTCTAGATAGTGTCGTCAGGAATATTGCTGTGTAATATAGATGTCTCCAGCAATAGGTGCTGGTCATAAGAGCCAACTCTAGATAGTGTCGTCAGGAATATTGCTGTGTAATATAGATGTCTCCAGCAATAGGTGCTGGTCATAAGAGCCAACTCTAGATAGTGTCGTCAGGAATATTGCTGTGTAATATAGATGTCTCCAGCAATGGATGTTGGTCATAAGAGCCAACTCTAGATAGTGTCGTCAGGAATATTGCTGTGTAATATAGATGTCTCCAGCAATGGATGTTGGTCATAAGAGCCAACTCTAGATAGTGTCGTCAGGAATATTGCTGTGTAATATAGATGTCTCCAGCAATAGGATGTTGGTCATAAGAGCCAACTCTAGATAGTGCCGTCAGGAATATTGCTGTGTAATATAGATGTCTCCAGCAATGGATGCTGGTCATAAGAGCCAACTCTAGATAGTGTCGTCAGGAATATTGCTGTGTAATATAGATGTCTCCAGCAATGGATGTTGGTCATAAGAGCCAACTCTAGATAGTGTCGTCAGGAATATTGCTGTGTAATATAGATGTCTCCAGCAATGGATGCTGGTCATAAGAGCCAACTCTAGATAGTGTCGTCAGGAATATTGCTGTGTAATATAGATGTCTCCAGCAATGGATGCTGGTTATAAGAGCCAACTCTAGATAGTGTCATCAGGAATATTGCTGTGTAATATAGATGTATCCAGCAATAGATGCTGGTTATAAGAGCCAACTCTAGATAGTGTCGTCAGGAATATTGCTGTGTAATATAGATGTCTCCAGCAATAGGTGCTGGTCATAAGAGCCAACTCTAGATAGTGCCATCAGAATATTGCTGTGTAATACAGATGTCTCCAGCAATGGATGCAGGAATTATAAGAGCCAACTCTAGATAGTGTCAGTCAGGAATATTGCTGTGTAATATAGATGTCTCCAGCAATGGATGCTGGTCATAAGAGCCAACTCTAGATAGTGCCATCAGGAATATTGCTGTGTAATACAGATGTCTCCAGCAATGGATGCTGGTCATAAGAGCCAACTCTAGATAGTGTCGTCAGGAATATTGCTGTGTAATACAGATGTCTCCAGCAATGGATGTTGGTCATAAGAGCCAACTCTAGATAGTGTCATCAGGAATATTGCTGTGTAATATAGATGTCTCCAGCAATGGATGTTGGTCATAAGAGCCAACTCTAGATAGTGCGTCAGGAATATTGCTGTGTAATATAGATGTCTCCAGCAATGGGTGCTGGTCATAAGAGCCAACTCTGATAGTGTCGTCAGGAATATTGCTGTGTAATATAGATGTCTCCAGCAATGGATGCTGGTCATAAGAGCCAACTCTAGATAGTGTCGTCAGGAATATTGCTGTGTAATATAGATGTCTCCAGCAATAGGTGCTGGTCATAAGAGCCAACTCTAGATAGTGTCGTCAGGAATATTGCTGTGTAATATAGATGTCTCCAGCAATGGATGTTGGTCATAAGAGCCAACTCTAGATAGTGTCGTCAGGAATATTGCTGTGTAATATAGATGTCTCCAGCAATGGATGTTGGTCATAAGAGCCAACTCTAGATAGTGCCGTCAGGAATATTGCTGTGTAATATAGATGTCTCCAGCAATAGGTGCTGGTCATAAGAGCCAACTCTAGATAGTGTCGTCAGGAATATTGCTGTGTAATATAGATGTCTCCAGCAATAGATGCTGGTCATAAGAGCCAACTCTAGATAGTGTCGTCAGGAATATTGCTGTGTAATATAGATGTCTCCAGCAATGGATGCTGGTCATAAGAGCCAACTCTAGATAGTGTCGTCAGGAATATTGCTGTGTAATATAGATGTCTCCAGCAATGGATGTTGGTCATAAGAGCCAACTCTAGATAGTGCCATCAGGAATATTGCTGTGTAATATAGATGTCTCCAGCAATGGATGTTGGTCATAAGAGCCAACTCTAGATAGTGTCGTCAGGAATATTGCTGTGTAATATAGATGTCTCCAGCAATGGATGTTGGTCATAAGAGCCAACTCTAGATAGTGTCGTCAGGAATATTGCTGTGTAATATAGATGTCTCCAGCAATGGATGCTGGTCATAAGAGCCAACTCTAGATAGTGTCAGTCAGGAATATTGCTGTGTAATATAGATGTCTCCAGCAATAGGTGCTGGTCATAAGAGCCAACTCTAGATAGTGCCGCCAGGAATATTGCTGTGTAATATAGATGTCTCCAGCAATGGATGCTGGTCATAAGAGCCAACTCTAGATAGTGTCGTCAGGAATATTGCTGTGTAATATAGATGTCTCCAGCAATGGATGTTGGTCATAAGAGCCAACTCTAGATAGTGTCGTCAGGAATATTGCTGTGTAATATAGATGTCTCCAGCAATGGATGTTGGTCATAAGAGCCAACTCTAGATAGTGCCGTCAGGAATATTGCTGTGTAATATAGATGTCTCCAGCAATGGATGTTGGTCATAAGAGCCAACTCTAGATAGTGCTGTCAGGATGGATGCTGGCCAACTCTAGATAGTGGCGTCAGGATGGATGCTGGCCAACTCTAGATAGTGGCGTCAGGATGGATGCTGGCCAACTCTAGATAGTGGCGTCAGGATGGATGCTGGCCAACTCTAGATAGTGGCGTCAGGATGGATGCTGGCCAACTCTAGATAGTGGCGTCAGGATGGATGCTGGCCAACTCTAGATAGTGGCGTCAGGATGGATGCTGGCCAACTCTAGATAGTGGCGTCAGGATGGATGCTGGCCAACTCTAGATAGTGCCGTCAGGAATATTGCTGTGTACAATAAATGAACAAATGCAGCTAATGTTGCTGGAAGTCCTATCAGACCATACCACATTTCAGAGGGGTTGTGAGAATGAGTGTGTTTAAATCACATATCGTATCTGCAAAATTTTATTCATGTTATGGGTTGAAACACAGTGTGATCAATTGATAGAAATTTCATATGAAATTGCTGGAATTCAGCAATAAGTATGTGAGAAGTGGGACACTTTTTATCAAGACTATGGTAAGTGCCTTGTTGAATGAGCTGGGAAGATGAATATTGGCCATCAAAACGAGCACTGTGGGAGGAGAGTGTCAGAAACTCAACATTAACCAATGATCTAGGAGAAGTATGGATTAAGTCCAAGATAATGTTGGACATCTCAAGCCTTTAGTCAGAGACTTACAGTTAACAGTATAACAAGCAGTGGGTGATCTGTAACTCACAGTTATGTGGGCTCCTCCATAAGATCGAATGTATTAACTTCTGATATTTGCACATGAGCATTTAACAGTTCTCTAAGCTGAATGTTCAGGCATCTTATAGTGGTGGTAGTTAAGAGAAGAACGACATGACTCCGTCACTGTTCAGGATCAACTGATAACGTTAAATCACCACTACAAAGCAGCTCAGGGAAACATTTTGCAGGGGTGACATTTCATACAATCATCTTCATTTTTCATGGTTCTTAAAATGAAAATGTGTAATCTGAAGTAGCAATAAAACATTTATGGATTGTCTAACAATGATTGTGATTGAAAAATCAAAATCCATGCTGGAAATTGGGTCTTAAACTGTTCATTCACAAACTCTTTGATGTATCAGTGCATCACATTGTCATTTAAAGGGGACTGTGCTCCATAGTCAGGAGGCAGGGTCTAACTGTTGTACTTAGTGGTACATGTGAAATTGTAACATTGTCTGTTTGTAATCAAGGTAATCATAAACAGCTTGAGTTGTCTACATCAATACACAAAGGGCTGTTTGAACAATTAACATCAAATTTGATGGGACTGACCATTGTGCATAATCTAGCCTCCCTTTAATGAAAAAGAAATTGGGACGGTTGGTACGTCTGATGATGTATCGTCAAATTCATTTTTTATCTTATATATATTTAATCTGACACATTAAACCTGCCTTGGCAGGAGTGTTTTTGTAGTCATTAAACGGACATCATTCTGAAGTCTGCAGAGTAACCAGAGGATGTCTGTTGGGCCGACCCCATCCTTTACCGGGCTGTCTCTAGCTGCTATGAGACTGTAAAACAAGATTTAATTGGCCTTGACTGAAAGTTAACATATTTTAGCACACATTTCACCCGTATGTTGTACATCCTTTGTGCTATGATAGTGTGACATCTGTACAATATAGCTTTTTGAGATTTTGGAATTATTTCAATTTGTGAACATGTACAGGTAGTTGTAACTTATGGTTTGGGTGACTAGACAAAAACAACATAAAAAACCTTTCTTTTCCTCAACACAGCTCACAAGGATTATGCTGGGAGTTGTTAAGACAAGGTTTCACATGTTTTGTGGTAATATAAGCAGTTATTATTGATTCTGGTATTGTTCTGACATGATGATCTGACTGCCACAAGCTGTATGACATCTCTTCCCTGTGGTCCATCCTCAGTAAACAACCTATTGATGTTCCACCCTCGGTACAAAGTCCTATTGATGCTTAACCTTGGGTACAAAGTCCTGTTGATGTTCCACCGTCGATACAAAGTCCTGTTGATGTTCCACCCTCGGTACAAACTCCTGTTGATGCTTCGCCCTTGATACAAAGTCCTATTGATGTTCCACCCTTGGTACAAAGTACTGTTGATGTTCCACCCTTGGTACAAAGTCCTACTGATGTTCCACCCTTGATACAAAGTCCTATTGATGTTCCACCCTTGGTACAAAGTCCTATCGGTGTTCCATCCTCGGTAAGATTTCCTAGTGATGTTCCACCCTCGGTACAAAGTCCTATTGATGCTCCACCCTTGGTACAAAGTCCTGTTGATGCTCCACCCTTGGTACAAAGTACTGTTGATGCTCCACCCTTGGTACAAAGTCCTATTGATGTTCCACCCTTGGTACAAAGTCCTATTGATGCTCCACCCTTGGTACAAAGTCCTGTTGATGCTCCACCCTTGGTACAAAGTCCTATTGATGTTCCACCCTTGGTACAAAGTCCTATCGGTGTTCCATCCTCGGTAAGATTTCCTAGTGATGTTCCACCCTCGGTACAAAGTCCTATTGATGTTCCACCCTTGGTACAAAGTCCTATTGATGCTCCACCCTTGGTACAAAGTCCTATTGATGCTCCACCCTTGGTACAAAGTCCTATTGATGTTCCACCCTTGGTACAAAGTCCTATCGGTGTTCCATCCTCGTAAGATTTCCTAGTGATGTTCCACCCTTGGTACAAAGTCCTAGTGATGTTCCACCCTTGGTACAAAGTGCTGTTAATGCTCCACCCTTGGTACAAAGTGCTGTTGATGCTCCACCCTTGGTACAAAGTCCTATTGATGCTCCAACCTCAGTACGATGTCCTAGTGATGTTCCACTGTCCTTCTCTCACATGTAAAAAGTTTCCAATGTAATTATTTGACTATGTGCAGAAGAACCAAATGTGATTATCCCAAGAACAGAGAACCTGGATCCTTAATTTAATACTCCCTGGCTGAAACAGGATTTGTCGAGTGAACGTGACGAGAGTTGTACGACAATGCATACATCATCATATTCAGCTGTCACTATGCATGGCTTTTTATTTCAATGGCAGTAACAATTTGATTTGCTGCGAACCCCTTTGCTGAAGATGTTGTTGTTGAAGCTGTCCCGATTGCCAAGGCAAGGCTATCGCTCAATTTCCTCTTGAGTAAATTTTCAGATCATTGATTTGGTAAACTTTGCCAATTCATAGCCTGATATAGGGAAAAGCCAAATGATGAGAGACACATATTAGTCATGTGTATCGGAAGACGTAAGTCCATCGACATGATTAATTAGTCTTGCAGGAAAAAAATATGGTCAGGATTTCCCGCCAGATTCAACGATCTTTTTCCTAGTTGTGTTGCAGTGTGCAAAATAAATATTTGTCAATGTGCAGGAGAGTGATGTGAAGACCTTATTTGCTACAATCGTTTTTCAGGAACCATCATCTGCCCTGCCACTGAGTGTTTTGTTCACTGGAAGGATAGCTCGAGCCAGTGCGAATGGGGCCTTAACTTCCAAACACCTACTGATGCTTGTAGATTCAAGGATTGCTGCTCTGTAAGTAGACTGACTGTAAATGTTGTTCATCATAATCATGTGTACATAGCTATTGTGACTAACCATGAGGCACAGGAAGTGTGCTTATCCTGGCAGGAGATCAGACAAGGGGAGTTAACTCTTGCATGGGTGTATTCTCTACATGTCTGTATACTGTGTTACAACTGCAATTACATCTACCATGTACTACTACGCCTACTACTGATGTGACTACTACTACTACTGCTGTACTACTACTACTACTACTACTACTACTACTACTACTACTACTACCACTACTACTTCTACTACTACTGCTGCTGTGACTACTACTACTACTACGACTACTACTGCTGTGACTACTACTACTACTACTACTACTATCCCAACACAAGCTGAATTCGACGTTCTGGTGATTTCAGCGATTGCATTGCACGCACTATATTGGGGGAGTAAGTGTGTGATCGGAGTGCACAAACAGTTTCACTGGTAGGGTGGGTGCCTAGTCGCTGTCGTGAGAAATTTTATTGACAATGGAAATCAGGAAGTAAAGTTATATGAAAAGCAAACAAACATCAATATTATTTACCCGAGATAGTTAATACCACTTACGATGCAAAATCAGTTCCCTTTATAACAAAAAATAGCAAGCGAAAATTCAGTTAGATCAGTCGTCTGCTGGTGACAGGCAATATATAAATGGGAAGCCACGTGATCACAATACTCCCTCGCAGTGCGGAGCAAAAAGTATGGCTCATCATCGAAAACCCATACAAAATACCCGGATGTTACGAGCGGCAACAGTTTCGCCGATACGATTCCATCAACGCTACTACTACCACTACTACTACTACTACTACTACTACTACTACTACTACTACTACTACTACTACTACTACTACCACTACTACCACTACTACTACTACTACTACTACCACCACTACTACTAATCCTATTACTACTACTTGATAATAAGGAAAAGCCAAATGTCATGTTAGTTTCATACTTTAATATGACTGTCTCAAAATAAGGACTAACTCTGACAAGCTCCAACATCTGACTGACGCTATTGGGTCATGTGTCCCCTTGTCAACATTTCCCCATGAGAAGCACGTGGTTTCTGCAAAGTAAGAGGTGTTTTAACATGTCACAACCCTAAACTCCTCTGTTGTGTTTTGGCATGCAAAACCCTCCAGAACTCTACTAGTTCTACAACTGCTGCTACTACTATAACTACTACTATAACTACTACTACTACTACTACTACTACTGCTACTGCTACTGCTACTATTACTACCACCACTACTACTACCACTACTACTGCTCTTCCAACTGTGACTATTGCTACTGCTATGCTCCTGTTATCTACTGTGCTGGAACACTACAATAAAAATACACTTGGCATATCAAGGTTGTATTATTTTCATGGGTTAAAGCTGAAAGCAACCTGCTACAATATTTAATAACATGTTTGTCCCTGCTCTGTCCACCAAGGTGTCCTATACACTGAGATTCAACAGCTGTTACACCTTTTTTATCCTCAATAGCTGCAGATGTGTCTTGATGTACAAGTGATACTGCTCAGAATAATGATACAAACATAAATATTGAACAAAACTAGTTAAGGATCATAAATATTTTAGCAATATTTTTATGAAATTGTGTTTTCAGTCTTCATTACAAAAATATATAACCTTTAAAATATGTGTGTTCCCCAAGTTGTTATGTTATACAAATACGATCCTGAAATAATAATTCCTTTTGTGGTTATGGCCGGTTGAAACGTTTTGATGTAAGCTGCAGATGTTTGCATGAATACATTAGGAAATATGCAAGAATTGTGACAGTGGTTAAAACATGTCCAAACTATATATATAGTGGCATGGAAAACGGCCACCATTTCCAGGGAGACAAAAAAGAAAGTGTAGGAAAAGCAGTAGACTTGCACAAGATAAAAATTAAAAGTTTAATGATAATTTCTAAAAGATAATAAACAGACAGGGTGCTTCCACTTATCTAGACTTGCCTCCTCAAAGGATAGAATTACTATACATCCATGGGCTCAGCATTCAGTACAGCCTTGGAGCAAGGCTTGTAAAGCTGGTTCTGTACAAGCTAACATGTAACCAATGCAGTTAATATACCTCATTATTTGGATAGCTATTTTTACCTGGTGTATACTCAGTGATGCTTTCATGTGGTGCAACCAGCCATCCCATATGTTATCTCTACATGTATTGAAAAGAGATGTTAAATGTAATGCAAGACCTCATGAGTGGCAGAAAAAAACTGCACTTCAATTTTTGGTATAATTTTTTGTCATGATCTAGCAAGTTTAGAATATCATTCTGACAACATGGGAATTCATTTCTATGGGAACTATTTGTATAATTTTCTAAAATAGAAACTTTTGAAATTCTTACATGACACTTTATTGTAAGAATGATAAAGATGCATACCTTAGTTGCCTGTAGATCGTTGATTTTCACCAGAGTTATTTTGTGTGAGTTATATGGAGCAGCTCACCCCAATGATGTCTGAGATCAAATATATCGACAGGAGTTGATCAAACATTTAAATTTATGTCAATGGTTGTTAGTATTGTAGTATCAAAGGACACTTGTGTGAGATTTCATATCTTATCTGAAATTATTCTTCCAACTTTTCAGTTGTAAAGAGTAAACAATAGTATCTTCAGTGTTAATAGCACAGCCCTCCAGCTTCATTAGGAATGAGTTTAGTGATGTATAATCACTGATTACATCACAGTGATGTTGGAAGCATTGTGATGCAACTCCATTGTACCAATCTCATTGTAGCAATATCTCCTGTGAAGGCCAGTTTGTATTTTTTGCAAATACAAGTATACTTTGTATGTGTCATGTGATACACAATAATTGTGTTTGTGTCATGTGATACACTGATGTGACTGGCATGTGTCATGTGATACACAATAATTGTGTTTGTGTCATGTGATACACTGATGTAACTGGTATGTGTCATGTGATACACATAAATGATGTGTTTCATGTGATACACATAAATGATATGTGTGTCATGTGATACACTGATGTAACTGGTATGTGTCATGTGATACACATAAATGATGTGTGTGTCATGTGATACACTGATGTAACTGGTATGTGTCATGTGATACACATAAATGATGTGTGTGTCATGTGATACACTGATGTAACTGGTATGTGTCACATGATATGCATAAATGATGTGTGTGTCATGTGATACACTAATGTAACTGGTATGTGTCATGTGATACACATAAATGATGTGTGTGTCGTGTGATACACTAATGTAACTGGTATGTGTCATGTGATACACACAAATGATGTGTGTGTCATGTGATACACTGATTTGACTGTCATGTGTCAGGTGATATGCACAAATGATGTGTGTGTCAGGTGATATACTGATTTGACTGTCATGTGTCATGTGATACACATAAACGATGTGTGTGTCATGTGATACACTAATGTAACTGGCATGTGTCATGTGATACACATAAATGATATGTGTGTCATGTGATACACTGATTTGACTGTCAGATGTCAGGTGATACACACAAATAATGTGTGTATCATGTGATACACTAATCTAACTGGCATGTGTCATGTGATACACACAAATGATGTGTGTGTCATTTGGTACACTGATTTGACTGCCATGTATCATGTGATACACACAAATGATGTGTGTGTCATGTGATACACATAAATGATGTGCATGTCATGTGATACACTGATGTGATTGGCATGTGTCATGTGATACACATGTGTCACAGTTTAATGGTGTCTGTATGAGAGGACTTCATTTTGAATTTCAATGGAAGACATTTATGTAAATGTGAAAAGGCAGAAAGAGGTTTTCAAGCTTCTTATTGGATTAGGGCTACATCAAGTCGATAACTACTGGACGTGTTTTCAAAATGAAGCACTGACAATATAAAACTGGGGTGTAAGGGGTGAACTTTACTGTCAATTTCACCTTTGATATTTAAACTAGGAAGATTGCTTCTTGCAAAGGAGAAGAATTTCAAGGACAATTTATTGTTTGAAAGTCACATAAATTGTAGGAAAATATCCAACTTTAGTTCCAGTGGTAATTGTACCACCTTTGTGCTCTGTCTAATTAATTTCATGTGACTTATTGTGGGTCAGGGCGTCAGTGTTGACACTCAACTGATAGATTTTACTCGTACAGTATTGATTCTGGCCAAGAAAGCAACTGTATGTCAGATATTTGGAACATCGGTGAAGCGCTCTCGGCACGCATTCACTGGGCCATCAAGGTATAGGCAATTGATGCAAGCCATTTCTTACAGGGACTATAGATCTTACTTCCGTCTAGGACCGGTCTGAATTTTTGAAACAACCATGACGGATTTAATATGTTGGTATCTGCCTCCATGTAAGTAAGTCTACTCTAAATTTGTATTTTGGAAGCGCTTTATGCAATCTGCTCAAAAAAATTGTTTTGAGTAAACATTTTGAAATATGCATGGTGTTTCGTTGGACTGGCAAAACTGCTTGATGTGACGATTTGGCATTAATGTATATTGAACTCTCAACTTTGGTTTGAGATGGAAATATAAATTCACATATACTTTCTTTTTCTTTTGATGAAACATTGAATGTTGTCATTCAAACTAGTTCTGTCAGTACTGTTGTCGGGTACTGTGAAAGTTTGGTATTGGCTTTCAAACTGGTTCATTTGCATCTGTTTCAACCACCTAGATGCCCTATTATTTGTTTTGAGGAAAACCCTATGCAATTTGATATTGTGCTTTCTGTGAATTAATCAGTTATGAACCTTTCATACCTGCATGTAATCAGAGATATTAGCCTGATGAGACTTCAGTGACCTGGCTAGTTTGATCATGATCAAAATATTTTATAAAATATGTTTGTGAGGTATTGGTTGTCAAGTTAAATGTCAGTAAATTATGTTTCAGATTCAATGATCATTTTTGTATTAGGTTCTATTAAAGAATCTAACAAATCTCC